TGTTTTGGAAAATAGAAGTATCCATCAAACTACTGTCTTATTCACCTGAATCTAATGAAAAACCGAACGTTGAAAGAAATGATGGATGCATTATTTATAAGTTCGAATTTACCACAAAACTTTTGTGGAGGAACTATCCTTAATGCAAAAGGGAACAAACCAAATTCATGTCTTTTTAGAAAGAAAGCAATTTTGTTTGTTGAGGATACAATCTTTTCCATATGAGAAATGGAAAAGAAGGAAATCCAACTTGAAATATTTCAAAGTGTGGGGGTGTCTAGTCAAAGACCAAATTCCTGTTCCTAAAAGAATTAAAATAGTACCTATGATTGTGAACTGTAAAATTAGACTTGAGTAGTCTAGAGAAGGATCTAAAAGGCCTAGGAAAAAAAAGGATAATGTACCTAATAAAGAGATTCATAGGCTTAGTAAATGTAAAGGACATTTACTTTCTTCAAATATGATTTTGTAACATTTCTTGTATCTTTTGTAGACTCATCCTCTGGAAAGATGGTGTCAATAGTGAGATTGATGCAATTTTGAGCAACCATATTAGAAGTTAATTGATTTTCTTCCAGAAAATAAACATTTGGGTTCAAAGTGAATCTTTTAGAAGGAAAATAACAGTTGATGGAACTGTTAAAAAATATAAAGTCAGACTTTGTGTCAAATACTTTAGATATAAACAAGGTTTTGATCTTGTCGATATATATACTCATGAGTAACTAGAATTACATCCATTCGGATGCTAAAATTATTAGTTGTGTTAAATGACCTCCAAATTCATCAAATGAATGTGAAAAAAACTTTCTTAAATATAGAATTGGAGGAAGAAATTTACATGGAACTACCCGAGGATTTTGTGGATCCTGGTAAATAAAAGAAAGTGTGTGAACTTGTTAAGTTACATTATGGACTAATTGAAGCACCCAAACAATGACATAATTTGACCAAACCATGTTGGCAAATAGATTTAAGAATGATGGAAGTGATAAATGTGTTCATATTAAAATCCTAAGGTCATTGTTTGTTTGTATATTGGTGATATGTTGATCATCAATAGAGACACTAATGACATAAATGCTACTAAATGTACGTTATAAAGCAAGTTTGGAATGAAAATATTGGAGTTGCTGATGCGATCTTAGATATATGAATTCATAGAACTCCATAATGTTTAGCATTTTCACGGTCTCATTGCATTGAAAAGGTACTTGACTAGTTCATATATTTGGATGCCAATATTGTCAAGACTCCAATAAATATGAGTTTTCCATTTCAAAAGAGTGAAAGAAAAAGTGACTCACAATTGGATTATGCTAGAGTTTTGGGAAGTATGATGTATATCATGTAGTATGTGCGATCAGATATAACATTTGTTATTTTAAACTGAGTCGGTTCACAAGTGATCCCAAATAAAATCATTAGATGACAATAAATAGAGTTTTGAAGTATTTAAAATAATACTTAAAACTATGTCTTGCATTATAACAATATCCAACAGTATTGAAAGATATAGTGATGCAAATTGGATCATTGGACAAATGAAGTAAAATCCACGAGTGGATATGTATTTACTCTTGGTAGAGGAGCAGTCTCTTAGAAATATTTCAAAAGAGACATGTATCGCTAGCTCTACAATGATCTTTGAGCTAGGTGCTCTAGATAAGGTCGGTGAATAAGTTGAAAGACTCCATAATTTCTTGATAGATATTCTATTTTGTCCAAAACCATTGACATTAGTATGCATACACTTTGATAGTCAAGATGCAATAGGTAGGGCATCGAGCATGACGTATAATAGAAAGTCCCGTCATATATGACATATACATGATAGCGTTAAAAAACTACTCTCTAGTGGAATTATCAGAATTGACTATGTAAAGTCAAAGGATAATGTGTCGGATCCACTTACAAAAAAAAGGCCTAACTAGAGAGAACGTTGAAAGATCATCTAACGGAATGGATTTACGTCTTAGGACAAGTCATCATGGCGGTAACTCTATCTAGCAAACTGGAGATCCCAAGAGCTAGATTCAAGGAGAAAAACAAAGTTGTGAATGACGGTTCGACATTGTCAACAAACTCTATCCATTCTCATTATGAAGACAATGCTGAGGGACAAGGATACAACATTAAGTTTTGTTAATGAGTTAATAAAACTTAATGGTTTTAATGATTTGCTAAGTTTGACGGGGTTGACCAAATACTATATCTACGTGATAACACGGTTAGGAATCACCTATGTGAGTGTGAAGTGTAAGCTGCTTCAAAGATGATGATTGTCAAAAACTAATCTCTCTATACACTCATGAAACCAGGAGGTGTTCATGGATGAAACGAACACAACTATAAGAACTATAAATGGTAAAGGGTTAATTGTTTGACATATGGTTGTCTAGGTATACATCAACGCTCGACGGTTCAAAGATATCACATCTACCAATTGACCGAGTATATCCGACATATGTTCACTATAGAAGGTCCAAGGACCTACTTATCCAGATGCAATTAATTCTTGCTTTTAAAGTACACATACTTGTCCGTTTCTTTGTCTTGGAGTCATTCCCCATTCATGCGGGGAATTGTTGGGTTTTAAAGGTGTGAATGGAAAATGAAGAGTTGCGACTTTTATGAAGAGCTGTGACTTTTATGAAAGGTTGCGACTTTTGTGAAAAGTTGTGACTCTTATGAAAAGTTGCGACTTTTATGGAAAGTTGTGACTTTTGTGAAATGTACCGACCTTTTCAAGAGAGTGTGACTTTTCCAAAGGTTTGTGACCTTTCCGTTAAGGTCCAATAAGAACCTTTTCGCACCACCCTTTGTTTTCTATAAATCGAGAGATTTCCTCTCATTTTAAAAATAGAATTTATGGACTTCTTCTTCTACTTCTAAATCTAGTATTCTAAGTGTACTTTACTGCCGTTGAGTGGCTCGCTGAACACTACCGTTTTGGGTATCAATACACTGGTGATTGAGATCATTCTACCCTGAGAGGACATATTCCAAATCAAACCTCGAATACTAGAGGGAAATAATTTCCTTAAGGGAACACTGTGCATTCAGTGGGTTTGATCTTCTTTTTGTTTTTCCAAATTATGGTATGTGTTACAAACTTTAGATTTTTGAATTAATTTTTGTTCTTCTATTCTTCCCTGGTTCATTAAACTTTGGTTACTTCATGTTTTTGCAAAGTTTCTTGGAATCAGTAAGATTCTTTAAACACAGATTGACAACAATTCTTTTTTAAGAAAAATATTTCATATATTTTTTTAATATGTTTTTTATTCTAGTTTCTCTACTAGTTTTTTATTTTCTAGTTATGAAAATGTTCTTAAGCTTTGTTGTGTCTTGCCGAATTCTTCAAAGTTTTGTTCTAAGTATCTTATGAATACAAGATTAAAAATAGTGATGTATTTCCTTCTACTTCATGTGGAGATTTACATACAACCACTCACTCCATTTCAATTTGTTTGTCCTATAATGATTTGATACAGAGTTTAAGAAAGTAAAGAGAATTTTTGAATTATATGATCCTAAATTAAATGTATGTATCTCGAATCAATTTTACTTATTTTTTGTCTTTTATCTTGTGTAGCTTCTACTGTTTGCCATTTTCTAAAATACAGAACTGTTGATTATACTGTTTTTTGTCAATCTAGTGATACTTTCTGCAAGTACACAGATGTCTTTTACTACCCTGAAATCCCTGAGGGCCAAGTTAGCTCATGGTTTGAAGCTCGGTTGATTATACGCTCATCCTTCTCTACTAAAAGGCATTTGTACTGGGTTCTAACTCACGACATATGTCTAAGTCACACATCACGCAATAATGAATATTCTATTTAGAATTTCATGTAAAGTTAATCAATTATCGAAATCAATTATTTTGTTAAGACCCAATAATGGCAGAGAATCAACTCTTACTTATGGTGAGAAATTCTCTTGTTGTTGCTTCATCATTTCTGAGAACTGTGTTTTTTACATATGGAACAAAAGCTTGGTTCATTGTTGGAAGATCAACAAAAAGAACTAGAAAATCGAATTCATAAACTATTGAAACCCATATCCAGAAAACGAAACCAAAATCAGTTGTTGTTTTTCTATTTAAACCAAACTGTATCTCCTCTGAACTAGCCAATATTGTGTGGCCTGAGACTGTCTCTTCAGTTCGTCATAAGCTATATATATAATGTCTAACGCTATTAGAATTGTTTCGATCATTTCATTATCTTAGACTATATGTAGATGACATGTTGGAAGTTGGACAAGAAAAAATGTAACAAGGAGAATTAGGAGAAAGAGGAAGGAATCTTTATTGGAAAATCACAACCAATCCAATTAAGTGGAGTAACATTTTAAAGATCAGTTTTTCTTTAGGAAAAAAAACATAAAATAGATCACCTTGTTCTTTTCAAGTTTCAACTATATTTTGCTATTGTTTTTTTCTTGTGTAGTTTTTGGTGCAAATCTGCTGCTGTTTTTGGTGCAATTTTAGTGTGTTTTTAGCTCAAATCAGGTGCTGCAGTTGTTATGCTTTTCTGTGGCCATTTTGGTACAGTTTCGGTGCTTTTCTACTGCAGTCTCGCTGCTTTAATGCTGTTTTGGTGCAATTTTAATTCTCATCTTTTAGTTCAGGTGATTACGGAAATTTCTTTGTGGAGATTCAAGGGACCTGACTTTGTTTTGAAAACAATTTTACGAACTCAAATATAGATAAATTGTTGCAACTGTTCATTCCTTAATTTCACAAATGTATCGTAACTGAAGAATTATTCATTTAGACGCAAAGAAAGTAAAGTAATAAATGAGACTGAAAAATCGAAACTTGAGGCCAAAAATAAATCTAGTCGAGACAGTGATCTCTTGAGTTTTATTAGTAACCAGACCAGATTAGACTACCTTGATCAATTTGTCCAGCTCAAAATCCAGAATATCAACTAAATATATGAGCACAAAGTATATGCACCTTCAAGTAGTATCCACCAAATATAACTTTGTTGATCAACGAATATTCAAACTCAATCCCATAGATGCAGAATAAACATGGTGGTATATAGATGAAAAGTGGTTCATACGTGCACAAATCTTAGAAAATAAATAGTTCTCAAACTGTTCACAAATAATGAGTGCAAAATACACAAAAAATACAGACCAAATTGCACAGCTCTTTAAGCTATTATTAAGTAGAAAAAAAAGAATTCCTACTTCTACAAACAGATCATAACACCAAAAGTGGCAGCTGTGGTGTCATGAATAACAATACACATATTAGATCTCTGACTTTAGGCTTTAGCTGTCTTGGTCTTCAGAAACCACACACAGTGCGGTAAGAATGGAGTTAACTTCACTCGGCTCTAGACTGCCCAGCTCGGGAAGACAAGATAATGCCAACAATAAGCCCATAAAGAGCCAAGGCTTCAGCGAAAATGAGAATGAGGATCATTCCGACAAAAAGCTTGGGTTGTTGTGCATTAGCCCTAGAAAATGATTGTTGTTAGGTACAGAAATAGGAATCAGTCATAAAGCTACAATCAGCTTGACAAATAGAAAGGCAAAAACAACTTCCCAACCAAAGCGAATAGAATGGATCAATCCTAAGCTTAATATGTAATAACTAATCTGCAACAGTCATTAAATTGAGTGTTTGGTCGTTACATGGCATACATAGTTTTGGCAAAGTCATATAGACTAGACAACAAAAGGTTAAGAATTTAAACAGTTTTACTGGGTGATTTCCAGAAGTCATTGTATGATTTTTTCTAATATGTAACAGATGTTACATAAGTTGGGAACAATAACTAAGCATGAAGAGCTGACGAGTGCTAAAAGATATGGAGGGAAGGGATCATAGGGCAGTGTTTTGAATGAAAGGCATCCATTCTGTTAAATATACACCCACTGTACTTCAACTATACTGACTGCAGAACATGCACCTTCATCTGGAACAGTTCGCTCTGCCAGTGAACACCTTAGACCACAAAAATTGCAAGATTCGAAGAAAACCATAGAGCCAGCCCTAACTAACCACTGGGTTTGAAATGCAAGAAGATTGTTTTTTTTTATTCACTTCCCGCTTTCTTTGGAGAAATGCTTCTACAAGACTTCAGGTATCTCTTTGATTTTATGTTACATAAGTTTCCTTTTAAGGAATACAAAAACATGCCCCGTATAGTCCCAAAAGCGGGGTTTCCTTTTCAGGAATGTTAAAAAATAATCAATCAAGAGGTAATGTTAACAGCTATTCTCTGACTGATGCAGGATGAGACTAGCTTATCGTTTGTTTTTAACTTAATCAGGAACACTCCTACATGTCCTGGCAATCATACAGAATGAAGATGTTATTTTTTGACAACTTTGGAGATTCTAAAAAGTAGAAGTTGTAACATGTTGCCTTTAAAGTAGTATATATTCAAAAGGGAAGCAAAATCGAGGAATGGTGATTTTACATATAAAACATACAGCAGCAATTTGTAACAGCTGGAAAGATAACAAGACATCTTCCGAGAAAGGAAGAACGCTATTGACCTAAGCCAAACAAGAAAAGGCATTCTTTGAATAGTAAAGACATGCAGCAATATTAGTTCTGTCCGACTTGGCAGCAATCCCTATGTTTTCCAAAGCAACATACAAATGCAAGCCCCTCAAGAGTGCATGAGATTAAATTGCTCGCACAATATACCATTTGGCAAGTTAGAGCAATTTAAGATGTATGACAGGCTCAACTTCTGGACAAACATTTCATTTGAAAACTTGAACTTCCAATACCAATATAACATTTAATATATTGCTTTATCACCTTCTTGCCATGGTAATGTTGAACTTTTGAAACCAATATAACTTTGTTCTACACTTATAAACCAAAAAATAACCTTTGGAAGACAATTGTACCCCCTATCAAAGGCTAATGGTAAACACCAGTTAACTCAATATTTAATAACTAAGCAATAACAAACAACTCCATATATTCCAATTCATGTGGTAATATTTCCTTAATAGCTCATTCCAAAAAAAAATGGCGCCTTTCAATATTTGGAAACAATTTATTATAATATTTCTCATATGATCCTTAATGGCATGATATAACCACAAAATGGTCGTGTGGTAGGTTTAAATCCAAAAGTTCCAAAAGTCTGTCTTTCTTGAACTTCATGATGAATCACACTCTGCCATATAAATTGGAACAGAAGAGCAAAATAAGCAATTTGGAATAGGAATAAGCATATATTGCACATGTTTAACTTATTCTTAAAGATCTAAGGTGCTAGAATATATAAAAAATTTCTCATTTTTACTTCTTAAGAACTGGTGAAAAGATTACAGCTCGTCTACTTTTTCTTAGTTATGTTTTTTATGACTGAGACATTTGTTGTTTCAACTACAACACTCAGGGACAATGGGTCCTCCACACCATCCTTCTCCACCTAAAACCAAGATTTGGTTCGATAGTTAGATTTTGAACTCGTGATACATGCCTACAACAAAACCATGGGGAAACTTTCTGATAATTAAATTATTCCCTCCGTTTCAATCGGTTAGACCTACTTTCCTTTTTATCCGTTTAAAAAACGACTTCTTCTTTTTTAGCAACTCTTTACTTTCAACTTTCTAACTGAAATGTTTAAGATCACAAGATAAATGCACATTTTGGTACATTTGACATACCTTAATTTATAACTCAAGTTTCACAAGTTCCTTTTCATGTTTTTAAACACTGTGTCAAGTCCAAATAGGGCAAACAAATTGAAATAGAGGAAGTATTATTTGTTATGATTGTAATGTCTATGTCAGTTTGCACGCACCTTAATTATTCCATTGGGTACCTGATACATCCTACCACCACAAGTACCAGATAAGTTGGATCACCAAAGCTTAGATACATGGAAGGAAAGAAGCACCTTCTGTTTTTTGCCTTTGTTGGGATTTGTACTTGAGAGCTCATGATTCTTCACACTTCATTAACTACTAGATGACACCCTTGGGTGCGATAATTATATAATTACTACATATTTTGTATTTACTTGCTCATTGCAAATAAAAAGAAAAAATTGTTCCCATGCAAATTGGAGTTGGTAGCACTCAGTTGCTCAAGTGGTAAGTACCATCCACCTCCAACCCTAAGGTAGTGGATTTGAGTCAACAATGGAACAAACAATATACTCCTCACTATCGAGTTTCCTTTAGATATGACTTTATCCATGATTTAAAATTTTAGGTTTTCAAGCACATAAAAGATAAGATAATGTTATCTTTCTTGTTCAGAATTATCGCCTGTCAGCACAGTGTGATCAAATTTAGTTGTTGTGATATAAGGAAGGGGATCTGAAATTAAAATGGTGAACTGAAGAATTAAATTGAATGTTAACTAAAATTACCAAGCAACTATGTTCTCTATTTAAAAAAATTTTATTTTATTAACTTCCAAAAGTTCACTGCAGATGTTAGGCTGCAATTTTCACAAATCACAAGTCATAACATTCTGAAAACACATACTTAGGCATTTTTACCAAGATGCAACATAAAACATTCTACTAGATCCACTCCCATTGGAACTCTAGTTCGACTGCTAAAAAGTTCTTTTTTTGGTAAAAGTGGTTGACAACTAAAAGTTTATCCTCTCCATGACACCAAAAAAATGAACAGTACAAAGATCATCTATCAATTGGTTCTAACAGCATAAGGCTAAAAATCAATGTCTTGGAGTTCTTCATATATGTTCTTTCACATTCTAACTATTCAATTCAGAGTCAACAGGCAGAAACATGCAAACAAAGAAAAGGGAAAGGAACCAAGAAAGATCGAGGAATCAATACCTAACACCAGCATCTCCAACAATACCAATAGCCATTCCAGCAGAAAGACCAGCAAGACCACAAGCAAGACCAGATGAGAGATGAGCATAGCCATCAAATAGGTAATACGACTTTGTTTTGGGGTTAATCCCAGTACTGATGATCACAGCAATAATCAAGCCATAAATACCTAACACACCAGCCATAACCACTGGCACAATGGACTTCATCACCAACTCTGGCCTCATCACTCCCATTGACGCCACTCCAACACCACTCTTTGCTGTTCCATAAGCTGCCCCCATACCTATGAATTATTCAAAAACAAAATCAGATTAGTGATAAGTTGCAAATAAGCATAAGATGAGCTCGGGCAATTCACATAAGATGTGCTCAGATCTCCAGCAAAGACAGATCGCATATTTAAAGCTTATAGATGCAAAATTTCATTGTTTAAGATGGTGATAACTCACAACAGCTACAGATTTAATAAAATGATATAATTTTCAACACTGTTCAGCTCCATATATAATTCAAGGCAACAAATTGAATAACTAGTCATAAAAAAGTAACACTAGCAAATTAGCATAACGAATTAGATATGATCAGACGCCGATCGGAGTAGTCAAGCTGGTGAATGCAAAGAACCAGCAGCAGCGCTAACATTCTACAAACAATTTCAAGTAAATATAGTTCACTGGAAGACGAAATTCAAACATGTGCTGCCATAAAATCTGCAGATCTAAGATAGAACTTACATGAGAAGACGAGGGCAGCGGCGGCGCCAAGGAAGCCGAAGAAGGGAGCAGTTTCATCTCCGGCAAAGTTCGACATTTTCGTTAGGATTTGGATCTGAGAATTTTGAGTTTTGGAGTTGAATAGATCTCTTTCTCCTCCCTCACGCAGTGTTGATTGGTGTGGAAGCAAATGAAATAATTGATTACTCAGTCATAATGGGTTTGGGCTGTCGATAGTATTTTGGGCCGATAGCACAAGTCCGGATCTTAAGTGGAGACAACATTTAAGGCTTAACCAAGATCTTAAAACTATTTAGTACTTAGCCATAATTTAATATTGAGAAAATGATCAAAATGTCCTTGATGTATAAGGGTTGTTTTATGTTGATCCTTAATCTATTTCAGCTGATCTAAATGGTCCTTAATGTATTATAAAGGAGGATCAATCTGATCCTTTGACCTAAAATTAATAGATATATTAAAAAACTCAGGTTTACTTTAAGATTGAGTTCCATTTGCAAAATAAAGCGCGAAAACTTTCTCATCTTCTCATAAGCTATAGCACCAAAGGTGCCTTAATTTTCTCCATCTTCATAGTTTTATTATAGAATTATATATGCACTAAAAATAATTACGTTCTTCTATATTATATCAAGAATGTTCATCAAAAGAAGTGACAAAGAATCAACTCTATATTATGGTAAGACTTTTGTTTTTAGATTTTATAATTTGTCTCTATTTTACTACTCTTTTTACTGTTTCTCTTGTGAATTTCATATGTCTCTTCTACGTAAAAGTATGGTCTTTTGTTAGTTTTGAGTTTTTCTACAAAAGCATAGAGTGTTAGATAAGGGTCTCAAAACCTAAGCATATTAATGTCGTATAAAATATTCACTAGTGGTTCTAAAAATATTATATGTAGGTGTTCCTCATAAAAAAAATTTTACAGATCCAGTGTTCGAGGCTGAATTTTTTAGTATTAAAATAAATCATATGGGGTTGATGAAGCATCAACCAAGCAAAACATATATTGGAGGAATGATGGATTATTTTGTTTATGTTGTAGCAAAAAATCTTAATTTAGCATATTTAAAGCAGATGACTGCTATGTGCGGCTATTTTAATGACTCAAAAATATTTTGGCATAAATTTGAAAAGTTCGATGATAGGTGGAGATTAGTGTCCACTGAAGTAGAAGTTCTCTCAATTGAAAAATTTATCCTGAATAATAGAATAGTTGAGTTATATTTTGAACATTTGGGCTCCTACATTGAAGCAGATTCAGGTGAGATTATAGGCCACACAAGTTGCACATTAAACCAAGAGCATACAAAATGTGGTGACACATACAATTCTGATGAGTTTGAAGATTCAGAAAATGAATTATACGATGACGATGTCATCCTTGAAAGACATGGACAAAAAAATAAAGCTTTGAGGATGGAAGGAAACTTATTAACGACGAAGTTCTAAGGAAATTGTCTAATGAAGATGGAGATTCAGATTGTGTGGACTCTGAAGATAAGAAGAGTTTGGATGGTGATTCTAATGATGAGTGTTTTCATTTTCCAAAGCATAACCCAAAAATGGAGCAAAACATCCTATATTAGCATTAGAATATACATTTGGAAGCAGGGAGGAGTTCAAAAATGTGGTATCAATTCATGAGGTTAAAGCTAGGAAGAGTATTAGGTGGATCAAAAATGATGGAAAAAGAGTAAAAGTGAAGTGTAGAAATTCATATTGTAAATGGGTAATTATGGCATCAGTAATGCATTGAGACAAGGCATTTCTGATTAAAAATTATGACCCTAAGTATACATGCAACGGTGGAACCATCGCAACAAGACAATAACCTCTTCGTTCATTGCAAAAATGTATCTTGATGTTATCAGTCAAAACAGAGAGTGGAAGGTGTCTGACTTTAGAGACACAGTCAGTGTGGGACTTAAAGCTCATGTTACTTTAGCTCAAGCTAGAAAGGCTAAAAAGAAGGCACTTGCATTAATTGATGGATGTGAAAGAACAATTTTCCATCCTTCGGGAATACTGCTTTGAAATTGAAAGGTCAAATTCTGAAACTTCAATGTATATGAAGCTAACTCAAAACGAAATGCCAAACAAACCATATAGATTTCAAAGAATCTATGTTTGTTTTGATGCTTGTAAGGAGGGGTTTAAGATTGGATGTAGAAAAATATTTGGTGTGGATGGGTGATGGTTGAAGGGTCAAATGTATAGATATCAGTTGTTGATTGCACTTGACTTGGGTGCCAATAGTAATATTTTTCCAGTGGCCTATGCAGTTGTAGAAAAGGAAACTAGAGAGACATGGTCATGGTTTTTGACTTACTTAATTGATGATATGGAGATTAACGATCAAGATGATTGGATCTTTATGTCGAACAAACAAAAAGGTTTCATTGAAGCATTTAATGAAGTTTTGTCATCCGTGGGTCATAGATTTTGCGTAAGACATTTTCATAATAATTTCAAGAGAGTTGGATTTGGTGGTTCTTCACTATAATATGCACTTTGGGTTGTTGTAAGTGCTACAGCTGTGGAATTTTTTAATGCTTGCATCAATGACATTGTTAAATTAGATGTTGAAGTTGTTGTATGGTTGAAAGAAAAGGAACCTACTAAATGGTCTAAATCACATTTTTCTCCCAATGCTAAGTGTGATATTTTATTGAATAATATGTGGTGAATCGTTTAATAGTATGATACTTGATGCTCGAGACAAGCCAATCATCACTTTGCTGGAAAAATTAAGATATTTTCTTATGACTAGATTACAAGCTAACAGGGATAAAACTGATAGATGGAATTCTGATGATATTTGCCCTCGGATCAACAGTATTCTACACAAAAATGAAAAAGATATTGCTGGTTTTATTACTAAAAAGACAACTGAATGAAATTTTGAAATTCTTGACAGAAGTGTGAGCAACATTTGGGTTGTTGACCTTGCTAACAGAAAATGTAGCTATAGAAAATAGACCATTACATGAATCCCTTGCAAGCATGCTATTTCAGTAATTTGGCATAAAAATGTCGAGGCTATTAATTATGTGGATGAATGTTCTAAGGTGGAAATGTATAAGCAAACCTATGAACCAGCTATTCTTCCAATAAATGGTTCACAGTTATGGCCTAAATCAGGCAAGATTCCTCCTTTGCCTCCAATCTTTTCAAGACAAAATAAGTCAGGGAGAAAGCAAAAGTTGAGAAGGAAAGGACAAGATGAAGTAGGATCAAGTAGAACTAAGATGAAAAAGAAGCAAACATCATTTAATTGTAGTCGATGTCACAAGTCTGTCCATAATACGAGAACTTGCAAGTTTAACTATGTACAGCCTGAAGGAGGAGTTCTTGAGTCAGCTTGTTGGATGCCTTCTACTTCATTTGTACCTGAAAAGTTGCCGGTAAATACTTTTATACCTAAGTAAGTTAGCTTGAAATCTTAAAGGAATTTGATTTTTCCTTCTACAAGTTAGAAGAGCAAATTTTATCCATGATGATAATGTTGCATCGTCTGACATGAATATTTAATTTTGTATCTTTTTTATTTGGTCACACTAAGGCTGGCAAACGAACTGGTTTTTGGCCGGTCTGGTCCGATTCCAATCCGGTTCCTGTACCAGTCCATCCGGTACCGGTTGAACCGGTCTTTTAGTATACATGACCGGGTACCGGATCGGTTTCTTATTTTTTATCCGGTTAAACCGGTTCGGTAAGAACCGGTTCCGGTCTGGTAAGGACCGGTTTAGCCGGTTTTTTTAATTTTTTTTTATATTTTTAATGTTACCGTTTTATATGACCGTTGGGTCCTTCTAGCCGTTGGGCTGGGGCCCAAAACGGTCAAATATGACCGCCCACCCCCTTCTAACCCATTTACACTATAAATATACCATTTTTTTCCATTTTAAATCACAAATTCAATACTTATACAATCTTATACAATCTCTCAAAGTCTCAAACTCTCAATTATAAATCTCTCATAAATTATTAATTATTATATTGTGATATTGAGTTGAAGTTTGAATTTCGGAAGCTACAATATGCATCTATCAAATCTGGCTTGGGTTATACGTCTACATTTACGTAGACGTTTGGTACATTCGTTCCAACTATTAACTTTAATTGTTATTTGTTTATTAATTTAGTTGTTTTATCTCTTTTATTATATTATTTTGCTTGTTTTTCTCTTAATATTTAATTGTTTTAAATTTTAACATGAATTCGAAAAGAAATAGTGGTAAAAGACCAATGTCGGAATTAAAAAATAAAAAGGGGAGGAGTAAGTAGTTCTTGTTCTAAAAATTTGCCACCTAGATATTTAGTTAATACTAATGATTATACTTGTGTTAATGAAACTTTTTTTACGTCACCAAGACCTATTGAATTTAATTCTGAAAATGAAGTAGATTATGAGTCTTTAAATAGACATTATACTAATTTTGAAGAAGAAATTAGAAGAAGAAGTAGAAATAAATGAGGAAGATGAAGAGACCCCTACCCCAACTAGTCCGGTTACTGAAGTCCCCTCTTTACCTACTTTTTCAAATGTCATCATCGTACGTGTTAAAATGTAACGACCTGTTTAGTCATTTTGAGTAGCAGATTTTATTTCAGGAAAAACTGGTTGAGACGACGAAACCCACGACGGACCGTCATGGGCACGACGGACCGTCGAGGGTGTCTCGTTCCGAAATACTTAGAATTCTGAAAATTGGGTACTGAAATCGACTCTCTGAACTTCGTGACGAAGTGACAGGATGGACCGTCACAGGCATGACGGGCCGTCACAGACTCTTCAGTAAATTTCAGTCTCTGAACTCTGTGACGGAGCAGCAGGACGGACCGTCGCAGGCACGACGGCCCGTCACAGGCTACGTAATCCCAGGCGGGGTCGGATTTATTTAAATGTTTTAAGGGACGTTTTGGACTATTCCTGCTATAATTATAAATTTAGTGGGTTAATGTTAATAATTTATCTACTTGAGGGTTAAAAGAGATAACCTTGAATTAATTAATACAGAGAATGGGTCTGTTATCTTGATAGAGATGGGTTAATTCACCATCTTTTATACTTAATTATATGCTAATTAGGGTAAAAGAAAGAGGGTTTGAATAAGAAAAAGAAAAAGAACAGAAAGAGAGGGAAAAACGATCGAGAGAGA